AAAAAAAAAAAAAATTGCTTAACAACATTACCATCCGCATTTACTAATTATGTGATACTGTTAATGTGGACATTCAGAAAAATGTAACTGGCACAGGGCTTCAGGCCCATGGGAGTTCAAAGTCACACCTTAAACTGCCAATGTGTGATTAAAAAAAGTTCCAAGAACACTGCTAATCAGACTGGACTTGTATTTTACAGCTTTTAAATACTCCTGACCACCAGTTATTTTGAAAATAAGGTTTTCCATTTATTGCATTAACAGTAAAAAAGGCAACAATACAAAGGTCATGGCTTTATGTTAAAAAATAATGATTAAAATAAAATAAATAAATAACAATAATAAATAATAATACATAAGTAAATGCTACTTACAGTTTAGCAGAGCCACACTAGCAAGTGCCCACAATGGTGGAGTTTGAGGGTGCTCTAATAGATATCGTGCCTGGATGGAAGAACCAAATGGTCCTGCCAACATGAATCCATAGATGAACATGAATCCAAGCCCCATCTTGGTTATGTCAGGCATAGTCAGAAACATATCCTAAAAACAAGAGATTTTAATTTTTGTTCACTTATTTCACTGTTATGCAATTACTGACCTTGAAATGAGGTTGATATGCTCTTTGGCAGTCCTCAGAAAAGTTATTTTACTTTTTTATTTACATCTAACAATACTGACTAAAAGCAAAAGCTGGGCATTTTGTTATATAATTTTATATCTGAATGCCAATGCCTTACAAGATTATCTTAAAAGGTTTAATGTCTGATTTATGGAATACCCTGAACCTGTACCAACACAATGAGGTGTGCACCTGGTATATTTTAAACATGGTCAGTAACATGTGAGATACTTAGTACTGATATTGTAAAACCCTAATTACCACCGCCAAGGAGGTTATGTTTTCACCCCTGTCTGTTTGTTTGTCATCAACATAGCTCAAAAAGTTATGAACCGATTTTGATGAAATTTTCAGGGTAGTGGTAAATGGGTAACTTAGAAGTGATTCGTTTTTGGTGGTGATCCGGATCAATAATAATAAAAAATTGCTGCCTTGGTGGAGGTCTGCGCTCTCAGAGTGCTTTTCTAGTTTTAAAATAATCTACAACTCATTGGAATGACAATTTCAATTACTCAATTGATATACCTCATTCAGTACTTGGACAGCACAGTGCAAAACCTGCACACCAGCTACCAGAAGGAATGGGTAGTTTGACATCCCTGATTTGCCAGTGTATGCCTCAACCAAAAAGATCACATCAACAGCCAACATGCTGAGGTATGCAAAACGTATCATAAAGAGTTTCCAGTCAAATGTCCTTATACGAGGGTTCAACTCGCGCCCCACCCAGAAGTCAACCAAAATATTACCTGAAATAAAAAAAAAAAATCTTGCTTTGATGAAAAATATATATGTGCCAAGTCAATTGTTCAGGTGTCCTGTATGTCAATTATTGTTACTGTCTTGCATTACACCATTCTTTTATCAAACAATGACGAACAAATAGTACCCTGCTTTCAAAAAACTTCACAACTTTTATCCAATATTAACATAAAATTAGAGGGTTAAATCATTAATAGGTCTTGGTAACAAACAGTTCCCAAATTGTCAGAACCCAAACCTTGTTAAGAACGATTAAATATAATTAATCCAACTGCCATGACATACTAACCAGTGGCTTCAGGTGCAACAGCACTTGGTTTTGCCTTCCTGGCCTGGATGTACAGGGCCACACTGAGAACAAGGGACAACACTGTGGCAGCAGAAATCAACTGGAGCCACAGAGTGTGAACAACAGCCAAGTTCACCTTGAAGTAAGCATGGCCAACAGCCATGGCTACAAGACTCAACACCAGCGCTATGGAACCTGGAAATACAACTTCCTGTTAGTGAAAGGGTTTATTTAATATTAAAACTTAACATATGACCCAAAAAAGAAATATGGATGCCCAAAAGTTGATGTATTTTCATGCCCCTTCATATAAATTTGATTAAAATTAATAAAGTGAATAATTAAAGGGATAATAACTCTTTGTATGAGATCTATATTTCACAATAAAAACATTGTGAATAACTCATACAAATATATTCTGTTTTACCACAAAAACGGCAGTTATAGCTATTATTCTGATTTTTGAGCTTGTCTTTAGACCACGTGACCTCCATTGATGGCTGTACTCTGTTAAAATCTCTTAAGAGATTTTAACAAAAAACCAAACTTTTTAGAAAAAAACCAGAGACTAACTTTGAATGTAAAAATGGATTCATTAACCATTGGTAAGTATGGGAAAATTGTTGTGTACTCCAGGAAAATTCATTTTTTGGCCGAAACGAAGAGTTATTATCCCTTTAATTAACAGTTACTTGCATGACCTAAATACTGGAAAAAATCACGAATAATTTGTAGTTTTTCTTCACATTTAAAGTTACTGAGGATAAAGATTATCTCTAAAGCAACATGAGAATCAGGAAAAAAAAAAAAATTAAACAGCCATATTAAAATTGAGCAATTGTATGAAAACCCACCATTGCATCTGTACTTGAGTTTCTGTGATCCTCTGACGGGGAGTCCGGATATGACCCTGCCAACTGGGAGGGCCGCCAAGACAACTTGGAACAAGAACCATCCCAACACAATCATAGTTGCCTTGGAGTCAAAATAGTCCGACACTTTCTTGGGGAACATTGGCATCCTCAACTTGCAAGAATCCTTATGGAATGGGATAAAGCAAAGATTATTACTGGTCTGTTGTAGAATAAGTGAGCACATAAAATTACAAACTATACAACATCAAGAGCACTTTTAAAAATCTAGTGTGTTAAACAAAAATAGATCATATTTATCTTACCTTGGCACACAGGAGATTGAGAGTGTAAAGCATAACTGGTGAAAGCAGTATTCCAAGCAGTGCAAAAACTGGACCTGCAAGAGACTGGTCATCTTCTCCTCTTGCTTTTGACCTGGGAGGGCTAGATCTTCGTGCAACCTCAACTTTCTTTTCAGGTTCATACTATAAAAAAGTTAAAAAGGCATTAGCATATACCTTTGACAAGCCTTTAAATAATGATTTCTTATCCAAAAGAAATGAATGGTTAATATCAAACCAAACTTTAAAACTGTGTTAGTTAATCTACAGTATGAAAAATTAGGAAGAAAAAAATTGGAAAAATCTACCTTTTCAAGCTTTCAGGCAGTGAGTTTAAATAACTCAGCAGTGCAGCAGCAAGTCCTATACACTCAGACGCAGCATAAAAAACCGACCTTGCCATTTAACGGAAACAAAATGCATCCTCCTCCGACAGTTCCACAGCAAAACATGGCATCAGACCATTTTCATAACACAAACACACAGTAATATACACTGATTATTTACCTTCTGGACTCATGGTAGCATTTAACCATTTTTTTTAAACACTGATAATGACCCTTTTTTTCAACAGCTTGTCATCAGTTTGACTAAATTACTGTAAACTTTTGCACAAAGCAAACAAATCAGCTAGCATGAGTTCAGTTACTTATGAACATCAATTAAAATTCCAAATTCTAGCATAAATAATCTATCAATAGCATCAACCACAGAATTTAATACCTGCTTTTCTGCAAGCCTTGCAGATTGCCTTGTAGGAGTAGAAGGTGTGGCTGCAGCACGGGTCTTGGAAGAACTGCGAGATTTTGAAGAACTGCGAGGTTTCCTGGCTGGGGATGGACTTTGCTTGGCTTTGCGAGAAGGACTTGCCTTGGACTTGCGCCCCGGAGATCTGCCCCGACTTCTAGATCTGGACCGTGACCTAGAACTTCTGGTGAAGTTTGACATGGCCTAAATTTAGAGAGAGACAGAGAAAAAACATGGTCAGTTTTTGCATATATCAGGTTGCTTTTTTTACTCAAAGTTCTTAGTTGATAATTTTACTAAAGGCATTGATTTCACACAAAGGAAACCATGTCAGAGATATTATATGCTGGGGGGCAAAAACTGTAGAAGTAGTTCAGCCAGTAACCTTCAGTTCACATCTATTCTTTTATAAATTAGAGGACAGCTGTTTAACCTTGGTACACTTCACTTTTCTCCCAAGTTTCCTACTTTATAAATCTTACAGTTTTGAGCCTTATAATGATTAAATGCTTAGTGAAAAAAAGTATTTGAAAGAATCCATACAACTAAAACTATCACACAAATTTGTAATTTCTCTATCAAGCTATCAATTAGACTTCTTCTGGTTCTCCTGCTATTTAACGCACACACACACACAAAGTAAGGAAAGATTGCCAATGTCACGCAAATTGTCAATTTGAAGGAAAATTACCTTAAAAACACCTGACAGTGGGAGTAAATAGTGCAAACTGTTAGTAGAAAGATTGAAAGGCAGGTTTACATTGCAGACAAGTCTGGCATTTTCTGTACATTTTATTTTGGCATACAGAAAAGGCCTATACAAGTGTCACATATTGCCTACAGGTAGCTAGTAATACAAAATCAAGGAAGTTTAAACACCCAGATTTATTAAACCATGAATGAAATAATATAAATGACACTTTATGTTTTGACAATATGTGACACTGAGAAGGATCAACCACTCTTCAATGTAATGTTTAAGGGACAACACAAGACTTCAAATTAAAACTAAAACAAACAGTAAGGAGTGGAAGCTACTCTGCAAACTCACACTTTAATTACTTACACTGATGTGTTTTTGGCTGATAGTTTCTTCAGTTCCTTCCATATATCTTACAGTGTAGCGCCCATCTTTATTGTTCAGAACCTTGGCCCGAAACCAAAGATTACTGCCTGGCCATTTTGCATAAACTTCATCTCCCACATCATGTGACCTACTCTTTTGTGGACTGGGCATGTTTTGTGTTTTTTCCCCAATTTAAGTGTGTTCTTGTATTGCAGGTAGCTTACACCACTAGATTTAGTATCCCAAAAAATTAGGCCTACAAGTGAAATAAAATAAGCAAGAATTTATGAAGCATGCAAATCAAGTTAAATTGTGTTATTACACCTTTTCCCATGAAAAAGATAAGCAGAAGTTAACAAAGCCCTACATAATATACACGGTGTGAATACCTGTTTTGCAGGTCTTGCAGGAGTTCCAGGCATTCTGAGTGCTTCTTATCTGTAATAACTTAAAACAGTACCACACTTTGTCAATTGTGCACCTGAATGTCAATGAATTAATTATTTCTAGTATACCATGACCAAATATTCAGGTTAATTTGCAGGAAATCACACACACCCATTCATTATCACATCTCAAATTAATATATATAATGTAAGATGTTTATGGTTGTAGATATTTGAAACTATAAAGCTGTCATGCAGGTGCCATATTTACAGTATAATCAAAACACATGGGTAAATATAATTACAAAATAAAGTCAAGAAACTAACACATTGACATACTATAGTACTGTATTTTAACATGAATTAACAAGTCTTTTTTTTTTTTGCATTTTACTCTCATTGGCCCAATGACAATATCCTTTACGTCATTACAAAGCTCTCTGATATTTAACATTAACAGGTATTATGCCATCAAGTGAGAGACTTCCGAGATAAATACTTATAAACAATTGCTGTAATTTGCAAGCACTTATACAGCGTAGAGAGTAAGCCTGTGACTTACAATCAGGCAAGCTATATTAACTGGCTGTACTGATGTGCCAATCAGAACTCTTTTGGAATGTGACGAAAAATAGTGTATTAACAGGGTATGTGATATAAATTGATTAGCTAATGGATAGTACTTCTGATCTCCGCATTCCCATTCAATTCGTCAACTTTCGTTTTAACTTGTAGTTTTCATCCAAAATCGTCCCTTAATTACACAACTCTCTTGTTTAATAGAATCCCGTTTTGCAATGTTTACCATATCATGACAGCGCTGGGAAACGCTACTTAAAATGTCTCACCGGGAAACGTTTGCCACAGGCAGCGTCATATCATGACCTAATTTCAAGGTCGTGCCTTCATGTTTTAATATGGCCTACTTGACCTAAAAAACTATCTACCACATAGATCTCGCCAAGAATCATTTACAGTCTTGTGACATACCTCGATGTAAATTATTACTTAAAAGGGCACAATGATACAAACAATTACGATTTATGACCAACAAATCTACACTAAATTAATAAAACCGATGCGCCGGTCGGTGACCGGGCACTTGTCATTGTTTCTTTTGCAAGCAAAGCAAAGGAATTTTGACAGCATCGACGAGATTTTGGTTAAATATGTAAGGAGCTTAAATGGATTAACATTTCCAGATGTGCAACTACCAGCCCTTTATATGTAAATGATTGTCGACTTACCTTTAATTTCGTAAAACTTTGCTACGTTTATAAAACTCAAGTAATTAATCTACCCTTTGAACTTGAATAACCCACGCTAAAGCGTAACCGACGCTTTGGCGGGCTTCGTTCTGATTGGCTGATAGCTGACACAAATGTAGCTAGTTGTCTGATTGGCTACTTTTGTTTGTAATTTAAATACAATATACCGCTAGATGACGCCACAATCAACAAAAGTCTCAATGCTCTGTTTGTCATTTCTTTAACTGTGTGTAATGATCCTTGTATTCAATCTATTCAGCAAATTATTAAATTACGAAGGATATGTATTCTGGCTAACCATAGTGTTTTCTAACAGCCAAACAATGTATCTAGGGTTTCACAATGATGGCTAAAATTCAGTCAAGTTTTAATTTTTTTGTACTATTCATCTTTATCTTCTGTTACAAAGATAGTCACCCATTCAAATATTACTTTACCCTCAAAGATAGTCAAACCTAACTCTAAGGCTAAACCCTGTCACCTGTATTTTTAAATAAAGCATCTCCTTTACCTATGATAGTGGTAAAAACTTCTGTTGCCCTCTTGGGCTACATGTATAATCCAGAGCACGGTTATTGTTACCCAGATAGATTTTTTTCATGGACATTGATGCCAAACATCTGCTAGTTCAAAGAGCAAGGATAAATAATACTTCAGCTAAAGATGGCAGGCAATCAAACTGACACAACTGAGAAATCAAACCTATCCCAATCCTGAGGCCTGTGTAGCCAACAAAATTTCGGAGGCTTTTGTGGTTTCAGGCACGGCAGGGTTTTTGTTAATACAGAGCCCCTGCAGTTGTCTGCAGGTGATAATATGAAAATACCCCCCTTCCTTCATCTTAAAGGGATAATAACTCTTCGTATGAGATTTATATTTCACAATAAAAACATTGTGAATAACTCCTAGAAATATAATATATTCTGTTTTACCACAAAAATGGCAGTTATAGCTATTATTCTGATATCTGAGCCTGTCTTTAGACCATGTGACCTCCATTGATGGCTATACTCTGTTAAAATCTCTTAAGAGATTTTAACAAAAAAACAATCTTTTTAGAAAAAAACCAGGGACTATTTTTGAATATAAAAATGGATTCATTAACCATTGGTAAGTATGGGAAAATTGTTGTTTACTCCAGGAAAATTCATTTTTTGGCCGAAACGAAGAGTTATTATACCTTTAAGATCCTATTTTAAAAAACTGAAAAGTTATCCAAAATATTGTTGCTTTTGTTCCTTTCAAATCCATGCATCAAGTTCCAGCAGTGCAACAGCAATAACAAGAGGTAATTTTTTCTAGAGCTGGAAGAACCACTATATTTGACATAATTTCAGAGGTTAAAATAACCTATCAATAACCTTAAATAACCTCATCTATTTACATAGCAATTCAAATGTAAAGCAATAAATAGTAAGTAATTTTGGCTACCTTTATTGGTTTCTTTTTACATGATTAAGGTAAAAGGCATACATATGTATATATATATTTATAATTGATATTGTGGATACCATATCAAAATTATGAACAGAAATTATAAACAGAATAGCAAGGTTCCTCAAAAACAGGTTAATGTTTTGGAAAATGCTTAATCCGAATTTTGACTGAATGCATTTATGACTTAACTTTTTTTTAAAGTCTTTCTTTCTGTATCTCTAGTTGAAACAATTATTCAGCAATCATTACATATAAAACAAGTGAACAAAGAAAACAAATATTCTTAAATAGACAAATCATTCTTCTATTCTACAGGTGACTTAAGATGACATTTATACAAAGTCACTACATTCACATTTCAGAGATTTTTTTTTTATTTGAAGACAATACTCTCTCACATCCAAAACATCTATGATTTTGAAGTCTTTTCATTTTTCCATGCTCTTCATGAAATTATCCTTTACTGCACATCAATGCTATACTCTTCTACTCCAATAACCTTACCAAATCATCATCTATTCAGTAATGATGCAACTCTGTTGCATATTCCATTTTCTAAATGTAACAATTAAATTTCTTCCAATATCCACAAATGACACAAGAGACTAAATTTGGCAACAAACCACTGTTGCAAATAGCCTTTGAATTACCTTGTGGTACCTTACATTCCATGCAGTTACTATTGAACATTTTAATCACATAAATCAATTGGTGACGTATTGCACTCAGTCTGTATAAAGTAAGTAGTAATCTATACCTTCTTTACAGCATTTACTTTCACTGACTAGGACACCCATAGCAAAGGCACTCAGTCATTGTGCACCTGTGCATCTCATGTAATCTCAAATATAGTTTTTTGTTTAGTTTTAATTTTGCTAAAAATGCCAAGTCTATTACCCTTTTGTTGCCACAGAAATACCATAGATGAAAACAATATCAAGAAATATACCTAGCAATGAAACTAAAAATAATTTCCTTGTTTCTTTATTTTCTGATAATTCACAGATCCGTGTATAAAAGGACAAGTGAGTTTGTGGTTGTTATGAAAAATATCAGGCAAGCAATAATATTCATTGGTGTCTTAAAGTCTTGGAATGAAATTCAGATTGCCTCTAAACATTATATTAAACCAATCATTACATCATCATAAATATTACATGGTTACAAAGGACCCTCAAATTAATGTAATGATTACATCAACAAACACAATTATTAACTCGAGGTTTTTTATATACAGATCCATACTCTTGCCTCCAGACTTTTCGTATCTTTCAAAACCTACCTTCTGGTAGAACGATTGCCAACATTTACAAACTCGTATATATAATAGTAAATTTTTCATATGTCAACTGAAAGACCGATCTCGTCCAAAATGTTCTGATTTTAAGGGAAGACATGAGCATTTCATCTGTACTGAAAGTAACTCTTCTTTCACTACCATTTGCATAGTTTAATGCCTGGTGTGATTTAACTGAAATGGTACATATGCAAATTAAAAACAGACTTTTAAAAAGCAATGCCCCTGGGAAAGCTAGCTATACTACCTAAAAATGCAGATAGATAGTAAAAGTTGATCAGCCCTGTAGTAGGCAAGTGGACATTGAATCTTGAAGAAATTTTACATACAGAACAGAAAAAAGTATTAATTACTTTATATCCTTCACAATTTACATGCATTATTTATATACACACGTGGTGGCCATTTCATGGCTCCAATACAATTAATATTCTGGAACATGACAATGCACCAGTATTCATTGAATAAAACTTGGTCAAACTTGTGACAGTTTTGTACTCATGTCCCATCTTATCCAGATTCTGGATTCTTTGCACATCTTCTGTCAAGATGTTTGGTTCCTATCCCTATTGTTACACAATAAGGATTTTCAAAACATGTGCGACCAATAGCTTTCTTCACATACAATCAACAATACTTTATTTTTGTAAGATTCCCGCCTTACTTTTGGTCTCCTTTTTTTGGAATGATGTATACTTCCTCCACAATAAAAAAGTTAAGTCTTAAAAACAAGACACTATAATGGAATTCTCCAACAACTGAATTGTAAGGAATTATATATTGGATATAAAAAGGAAACCTTATTTTTATACTATGCATTGGCATTTCAGAAGCTAGTATACCATTAATTGACCAATTGGCAATAGCTGCTAATATCTTCACCCCAAGGCATATCCATGTATTTGCTTTAATTGCTTAATTAATACTGGTGCAATATGGAGATGTCCTCAAGTGCAGAAAACCTTGTAAGCTCACAAATTCTTTCTTCCATATGTCTTGAATATATGTAAGTGCAAAGCAGCGAAAAGCTACATGATATAATAATCTTTTTGCCAAGTTCCCAAGCTTTAGCAGCTTATAACTTCTGACAAGTAAAATGAAAGATTCAAATGGGCTTTACAACTGGGTGCTTCAGTGGCATGGGGAACGTAACTGAGTCCAGTCCAAAGAGATTTCATGACGGTCAAAACCTTCTGGTCCTGGCATTTTTATATCAGCAGATACTGCTTTAAGGACCTCTGCTTCACCATATATTTTCAAATGATAACCCATAATATAGATATGAAGCTTTCAAGAAGAGAGGGCTCCTATAAAATACAGCCATGTTAAAAGGATGTCTCCTTCCTCCTTGTGGCAGCACCTGTATAATGGTCTTGTTGTTCATCACACTGTGTATAGAGATTTATCGTCTGTTCAATTCTTGCCTTATTGCTGAAATTAAAAAACAATTGTGTATGTTTCATAGAAGAAATAGGCTATTGGTTATAAAAGTTCATTAATATTGATGTTTCTGTTAACTTAGCTAAAAAAAAAATTATTGGGTGTCAAGTTTTGCAGGCTACAGATTTGACTTTGACTACTTTTATTTTTCTGAAATTCGCGGCAATCAAGTACCTTCAATTATCTCCTGTTTGGCTTTCTGTATTTCTTTCCTCATTTCATCCAAGATTTCTTGTTTGAAAGCTTCCATATTTGAGCTGCTGATACCTGCATCGTCACTGCTTCTAGACGTCCCATTAGCAACACTGTCAGCCAACCACCTGCAGGAATAAATTAGAATACATCAATAAATAATTTTAGTTAAAGTCTTTGTGTCCTTCAAATAAGAATGGCTTTTATCTATCTAGGTATTATGCAGTACAAAAGTAACTTTACTTCATATGCTGAGAGAAATTTTTAAAGGCATGTGATTCTTTCCAAAACCTTTGAGAAATCTTGATCTATTTCATTTTATTGACTGTCACAACTGACATTTATCAGTCTGTATTTCCGTTAACGAGAGTGACTCAAAAACTAAAAACATACGACTCAAACAAATTTTGGATCAGAAATATGTGTAGGGTTACAATAATAATAATAATAATAATAATAATAATAATAGTAATAATAGTAATAATAATAATAATAAACTTTGTAAAACATGTGAGCTGTGTACAGTTATCTTACACATGGCCTTTTTAGATTAGGTATCCTTGGTAATTAAGGGAAATTTCAATATAAATTGAATTCTTGCAATATAAAGGTCCAATGCTCATTTAAATGCCTTTAACCTTCAATACTATCTAAGTGTGGACATGGACAAAATAAGATAAATATTATGTAGGTAGGTTGACATAATTTGCCTGATGTCTATTCACACTTCCCGTGATTCATGTAATATTTTCCAATACTCTAATTAGGTTTGTTAATTACTTAATAAATTTTTCTAATATTTCAATTTCAAGATTTTTCCTGATTAATGCTTTGTGCATTATAAATTATTTTGTTAATACATATTGAGTATTAACCATATTTATATCCGTTTTTTTTTCCTATTGGTTTTGAGAAATATTATTTACCTTCGACCAAGTTTGGGCGACTCTGAACCATTCACTTCTACTGTTTTGTGACCATTGCCATTTGATGAACTCAGTGACATTTTTCTCTTGATTTCCCCAATATTTGGTGAAGATGAAACTGCTGGTATTGGGGGTGCACTGCTGGCGCTACTTGTGGAATTATCTTCCTACAGAACAGAAGTCAAGAGAGCTTAGGTAAGTGTCTATAATCAAGTTGCAAGTTTTCATTTCTTCAATAGTTTAACTGTGTGTGCTTTACAACATGTTGGTGAAAAATATAGAAAAATTATCACTTTAATCTTATAATTTCTTTAATGACAATATCTTTTGGTAGTAACTTAAGATATTAAAACATAACAGGTTTTTACAATTTTCTTTATTCTGACTTACTGAAACTTGTCTGCCTTCCGCCTTTGCTCTTCTAGCAGCTAATTTTTTGTTCATTTCTGCCATCATGTCCATGGCTCCTCCGCCAGTGCTGCCACCACTCAATGTGCTGACACGGTCCCCTGCACCTCCTCCTCCTTCCTCTGCCTAAAATACAAAATATCAGCAGACATAACATTTTCAGTATAACCATCTTCTGAAAGACAATCGTCAATAAAACAACATCTCTTGTTACTACTTTTTATCTACTACTTACTTAAAAAATCTTGCTTCTTTATTGAGTTTGGATTAGTGCTAACAGTTTGCAGAAATATAATATTGAATGAATGCCACTGCATTAAAAGCATAACCATGTTAAATGTAATCATGTGATCCTTTGTATCTGTTTTCATCAAGCCAAATCTCCAATAAAAAGCATTCAGTTCAAATTTACTGACCTTCTGGACTTTCTTAAGTTTGGCTGCTTGCAGAGCGGCAGCCAGCCCACCAACATTTGCATCACTTTTCTCGCCTCCTCCACCAGCTCCGCCCGGAGGAGGGGGTGGGGGTGGAGGTGGGGGTGCCCCACCACCAGACGGTGCTGGTGGTGCAGGGGGTGCCGGTGGTGCTGGTGGTGCTGGGGGTGCAGGTGGTGCTGCCGGTGGCATTGTTTGGGCTGGTGCTGGTGGTGGTGGTTGAGGTGGTCCTCCCATGGGTGGCGCCGGGGGTGCTGGAGGAGCCGGGGGAGCCTGTGGTGCCATAGTGGTGGGTGCCCTGTCCTGCTGGTAACCACCCATATATGAATTGCCTAGAGAAAGAACAAGAACTGCGTAATTGTGCTTATTAAAAGATAATTATGATTTATTGTGCAGGTCAGGAAGAAAGAGAAAAATTATATTAAACATATTTCAAAACATCGTATGTAAACCACATACATATATAAATATCTAAAAAATAAATAAATAAATAAATAAATAAATAAAATAGAAAAACAAAATTGACTTTTACCTCCCATGTGTAGGGTCATTTTTGCAACTTTAACTGCCATACTGTTCACAGCAACAAAACACAATTTAATCCAGAGTTCTATTTACCGAAATATCTGATCAAGCTCTGCACAGTGTGTTTATATATATGTGTGTATAGGGGAGATTTTTCAGTACGTCATAGCAAATGTGAATCATGTTCTATTAATACGTGTGAGGTATGTGGGAATGCCTTTTCTCCGCCTTTCCTCCTTTTATGTGTATAGAGGAGCACTGGGGAACCCCTTGCCAAGATAAACAGCTGCTTCTCTTGCTTCTTTTGGTATTCACTAATCAGTTTGCTGTGACCACAGTAGCAAAGGTGAAGCATACGTCAGAGCTAGGAATGAAATCAACTAATTTCCCCTCTGCCTCAGAGTAAACATTAAACCATAGGTATGCCATTCAAAGCCCTACTTGCCAACAATTTTTTATGAGGAATTCCAAGATTTCTTGAAGATTCTCTAATTCTCTCTATAGAAGATGTAATTAATGACATATCCCTTGCATTCCATGTCTTTGAATAATCACTCATGAAGTTAAGCTTTCACTTGGATTCTGGGAATTTTTAAATAGATACTGAATACAAGTTTTGCCTTACATGTTTTTGACCACAAAAATTCAGAACTTTTATACAAAGCAGATAGCTAAAAACAAGAATAATCCTCTTAAACATGGGATCCCCTATATTCACTGTTAAATATGGACAAGAGTCCCCAGTAACAATTCCTTGCTTTGAAATAAATCATATCTACAAAGCTTTCTCCTCAAAAATAAATATTACTGGCGAACTATTGACATTCCAGTGTATTATAGAACAGCCTTCATTTTATTTATTTTTTTCTGAGAAATTCTAAGTGTTATTGGATAACAGAGCTTCTTGTGTTTTGTTTAAGCTGTCAGACTGTTCAGTTTACCTATGTCTCGATTGCCTTGAGAAGTTCTTCGCTGATGTGTTTTAGTAAAATCATCTCGGGGGCCTGAAGAAAGCCTGGAATACAAAGAAATAAACCCATTTACTGCACATGAAGTTTTTTTTAAACATATCCTCCATTCTCTATAATGAAGTGGTTAAAAAAACATTTATAGCACCCAGAATATATGTAACAATATGAATGTACATACCACTTGGCAACAGCAATATAACGATAAGAGAAACCAGCAATATTGCTGGGCTTTATCAGTGAGTAATTATTCAAATGATGAAAACACGACGAAATAGCCCTGGCCTCTTCACTTTCATGCATGATCAAACCATACACTCCCCTGCTGTTTCTTTCAGAACATACTCCAGTGACAGACACAAATGAAGAAATGCATCTTCAGTTAGAATTTTCTATAAAGACAAGGACATGGAACAGCTTCAGGCCATGGGAAAATGAAACAGAGTCTCATATTGTTCTAAGTATCTCATATTGCTTCTAGTGAAAATCGGCAGGATTATTTAAATATAGTAAATGAAAAACCATGTGTATTGTTTTAGGTCTTGCTGAAGATTCTTAAATTAAATTCTACAAATATTAATTTTGCTTTCCAAAGAATTGCATTACTGTGGCAGGTGTACAATATTTTCTTAACTACCTGTCATATGAAGCAAATGATGCACTGCTGTTTGGTCACCTGTGGCTAGTTCTAATGTTAAAAGGTGCCAATAATTATATCAAAAGGGTGTGAGAAAATCATCAGAGGTCAAAATAGGATACCTACACAGTTCTGCTGCTGGGCATTTTACCATATCTACAGCTTATGAACAGAAAACATAATCGCTGATGACATCTTGCTGATACCTTACAAAGTTATTTCTCTCGAGTCAAAATTTGTATTGTTTCACATAAAAACACCAGCTTAACAATTATTTCTCCTAACAATTTCCAATTTGCTACATCAGGAAAAAAAGCTTTAAAGAGATGCCTTGAGTTAATTATATCAAATGATGTAGTTACCTTCCTGACATTTGAATATGCCAAGTTCACTTTCACTTTGTAAGGGTAATCATGATAGTGATGGTTACATCTGATTCAAGCCAAGAGAAAACACTTCATCTTCCTTCCAAATATATAGTAAGACTAATGTACTCATTTAATCCTAGGGTTCTTTGCACCTCCAGTGCTCTTTGAAGGTGTTCAAAGATAATTTTTCCTCAAAGTAAAAAAAAAAAGTACTCCTGACCAGTGATTTCAGCTGAAGGGGGTACGTGTTTCACAAATACAATGCTGAACGTTCATTTGCACCAATTTTGACTTATTCAGTAGATCGCAAGAAACTTATTCATATGTTATTTAGTGTGAAACAGACACACGAGGTACCACTTATTCCCATTCATTCTGTTGTAGCGCTCACACTGAATCACTTACGTTATCTGATGTTTTGCAACAAAAGCCATCTTGGCACCAGTTTTGTTCTCAGATGTTTAATCCGCAACAAATCCTGCTTTTGTCTCAGACTTTTTACATCAAGTGCAATGCACTTCTTCCACGTCTCCCAAGAGTTCTTTTACGATTGATTTTTATCAAATCCCCAAAGTTTTTGGTCGCTGAACTTCTAACCCTGATACAAGTAGGATCTTGTAAAATAAATCCTCATCTGCAACATGGCAGTCTTTTTTCCATGACAGTCTCTAAAATAGCTACCTGGAAATGACTAAATAGTTTGCTAGCGACTCTCTTTTTGTGTTCAATCACTGAGTTCCCACTTAGGTACCTTCCAAAAATAGCTGTGAGGTTTAACTTCAGGAAACTCAATTATTTATGAATGTGCCTGGCCCTCTTTCCGTTATGCTTTCAATTTTCTGACATCATCTGAGGATAAAATGCTAAGAATGCCTCACCTTTACACTTCCAATTGCAAGTGAAATATCTTGTCACTTAATATATGTCAACAAGGAGAAACAGTTTAAGGTAATGTTACTAAACATCTCTTTTCTTTACTAGGACTTGTCAATTTTTTATGCATCTCAAGTATTATAAATGAACAAGGCACAAAACAGAAATTTCATATTTTGAGTTGGGAATCATTATTTGTTAACATCCAATTACACTCTAAACTATTTAAGTGAAAAGACCGAACAAGATATGCTGTAACTCTTTGTTATCTTTTAATTATTCAATATTGCTTCAGTATCCTCAAGCTACAGATGGTAAATATGCCATGCATAATGCTGCGGGGAAGGGGGGGGTTCCAAAAATGGTGAAAAGTACATTATATTTTCTCTCTCTCTCTCTCTCTCTTTTTTTTTTTTTTTTTTACCAAAGTAATATATTCCAAGACTGAGGTAGATTTTCTTCATGTTTTGATGAAAATTTCCTTAGACATCAAGAGTTCTACAACAGGATCTCTGATATTTTTGTATAAATGCCACCAAACTGCATCCCACTTTGCTTCCCTGAATCTTGTTTCAAAGAGTGACAAGCAAGGTAACAGTACAGTCTAAAAATAGTTAGACACTTCTTAAAATAGATATGCGTACTACATACACTTTTTATCTACTGCAGTTATGTTGGTCCTAGAAAAAAATAAAATATATGCAGAAATCTATCTACTATTAAAATCTGAATAGGACCCAAAATTTTCATCTTTAATTTTAGAGTCTATATGAAGCAATTTAAGAATCTATTGCAAGAAGCTTACAACACATCATTTCCAATAGGTAAATGTAAACAGCTAACATGTCTTGTCAATAGAAACGTTTATGATAGCACTTATTCTAATGTTGAGAACATTTTTGTTCAAACAAGCCATGGTCTAATACTTCAGAAAATAAAATATTCTAGAGAATCTCAAAACCTCATTGAGGCAAATATGATGACATTTTGTATACATCCCATATATCCTGGTTAAACTGATCTACATATATACTTACTGGCCACGGAAAGATGTAAATTTGAGCATCCTAGTAACATACAAGCTATCCCAGGCTGTACTCTGTTTGAGTTACACTGCAAAAACTTCACAGACACAAAACCCAGTCAACAAATTGTATTAACATAACATCAATACTTCTGTACAACAAGCCACTAGTCTGTCAAATACAGTCCTTTTTCTTTCTAATTTGATGACCTATTTCAGAGTGTTTTCCTTTATCTCTTTATGCCACACACTTCCCTTCCCTTGTTTACTACAATGACGTTAAAAAAAAAGGAAAAAAACAAAGACTGATTGTTAACCAAGTGACCAATTCCTCACAGTGTGGTGCAGTTGTGGTTTGAAAAAAAATTTCAAAAGTTGGCTTGAAGTCAGCACTGTGTGCTCAAACCAGAACAGTTTTCAATCTGTTATATTACATCCTACCCAGGACCACATAGACAATGAAAGACTTGTGCGGATGCCACTCAAGATGTATAATTGCATATCTACATTCACAGGAAGCAAGAGCTCAAAGAAAGCGTTTTTGTTTTGATAAAAAATAATCAGTGAAGTTGGGGTACTTAAAAATTTTATGTTGTGAGAGAGTTGAGGACAGGGGGAAGGGATTTTTATCAACTTTGATAATACTAAAAAATATTTGCACTAGGGAGAATAATATTTTACTGCCAAAAGGCCCAAAATTGAAAAATATATTTTTAAAATATATTTATGACAACAAACATAATCATCAATTTGTCTACACCTGTCTCTATTCAGCTTCTTTCTATATGATCTTAGTTTTAGACGAACCTTGATACTGTAATGAAAGTCTTTAATCTCTTGCTGCCCTTTACATGTCACCATTCACTAAATGTCAGCTAGCACTGTGCACATGGTGTCTCTTTTTCACCAAATGGCACACATTTCACACAATATACCACATTTTACATACTATACCATATTGTACCAGGCCTCACATTATATACTGTATTTCACAGTGTCTCGCTTTATAGGGACTCACAATATTCATGACGTTGAACATGCCACATAATCATTTAATGTCATAGTTTTTTTCATTATATAACAATCATTCATGATGTCACACACTCCTTACAATGTCACATGCTGCTAGTGTTCTCTTCAGGTGACATCACACACATGACATGACATATTTTCAATGATGTCACACTATCACAATTTTATAGCCCAAAATGAGCTTTAAACATTCATACAGCAAACATTTATAATTCATGAAAATTGAAACAGTTTTCACTTTATCGCTAACTTCAGATACACCATTTGTAAAACTCTTATTGTGTAGATAGAGTAAATACAGGAAATTTAGAACTCCAAAAAAGGATTGTAATTTTCTCAACAGTCTACCTCCATAATAATAAAAAAGCTTAAAACTCCACAAAAAATCTTTTCTTTTTGTTACATTAATGTCTAATACGCTTAAAAGGCTCTGAATTTTACATTTCAAAAAAGAATATGTGACCATAAGGCATCAACTTACCTGTCTTCGTTCATGTCTACTGGACCATTCTGTATGTACTGTGACGGAGGTTGCTGATACGCTGTGGGTGGTGTTTGTAGTGCCTGTGGAGCCTGGTATTGTGATCGCTGTATACCTACAATTGACAGAATGAACATATACTAAATAACCAACAAGATTTAAACTTAAATAATACTATCTACAGTTTCTTATCTGTATTTATTTTCACCTCTCAGCCGTTCCATATTTTTCACCCACTCCTCATCTGAGTCAGGAAGAAGAAGGCCAAAGGAATGGGTGAGGGAAGTTTGGAACAACTGGCAGGTTGAGGGAGAATGTCCTAGAGGTGGCCCTAGAAGCGGAGGGGGCGTGAAGCAGGCCGATAGCTAGTAATTTCAAAGACTTTTTTTCTGAAAAAGCGGGCCTTTTAACATGAAACCCTCGTGATCATATTTTACCCACAGCAGACCTTTTTCTGGCAAAAAAGCCTTTTGTTAGAGCCATCCCCCACCCCCGAACCCCCCCCTGGCTATGAGCCTGCAAAAGATGCCCTAGACATAATGAGATGGAGGAACATAATAGGCACACATCAAGTTCTGGACACAGATGGAAACGATGATAATGAATATGAATTATAAAATCCATTGACAAACTTGTCAATTTCAGAGGTGATTGAAACACAGAATATCATCTTTTTGTCTTTTTGAGAATCTAAAGTGAAAAAAAATTCTTAGTTTAAAGATGAGATGCTCTTTAGCTTTTACTTTGTCCTATAAAAACCTAATAAAATGTTGTTCACAGTGTTGAAGTTTAAATGATCAAGTTGTATTAAATGTTCTTAGTTTCACTTACTGTTCATTGTCTCTAGAGCTGTGAGCATTGCATGTGCAAAGTTCTCTGCATCTTCTTTGCTGGCAAAGTTTAGGCCATACACCTGTCTGTTGTCCCGCCATTGATGGAACGTGGGGGTGGCTTGATTGTATTTGAGACCTTTTAGAATGGCACAGTTAATAACCACCTAGAAAAAGAGAATAGATTGAAATGTGTAGTCTTGAGGGCATGTATCTAGGCATGTGACAATGTCTGTTGTCTTTTCTACTGAATGTATGGTATAAGAACATTGTACACCTCAGTATCTTATCTATAGATGTTCTAAAACGAAAACATCTGAGTAAGAAATGGAAGTTAAGTTGATATTATAAATGGTAAATATAACCTCTGACTTTAAACTGCAAGAGGTCAAAGAACTCAAATGCAGAAAAAAAGAAAAAAAAAGAAAATCACTGACTACACGTAAACACATCATGTGAAAACTCTCTCAAATTAAACAAGTAAACAAACTGGCACACAAACCTCATGGTCCTGCATCTTTCTGCCGACCACCCGGAATGTATTGTTGATAGGATGATGGTATATATGGACTTTGGAGATGCCTTGTGACATGCCACTGGGAACCCATTTCTTATTGGCATCATCATAGATCATCACAGAGGCACGTGCGGCCACGATGGAGTGCTCACTGAAATGGAAAGAATCAAATGTAATTTATTCTTTATTTATCATTAGGAAGGGGAATTGCAGGATGGGGCACAGGCAACAGCTTGTCCACTTTAGCGATCTGATCTGCCTGGTGGCTATTCTTCCTGTGCAGCCATCATTTCTCTGGGCTACACCTAAGGAGTGGACAATGACAATGATTAGTATATTCAGTGATTTAGCTACTGGATTGTTGAGATACATAATCAATACCTGCTGATGAACTGAAAAGGCAAAAGGCTTTATAATAACAGCTTATTTTAGAACACTATAGGCTGGCTACTTAGTTGTCAAAATATAGTTTTCAAGTTAATGCATGTACAAACACCACTCCTTCAAGAAATCAGAATGAATTCTATCAAACTATCTCAAAAACAATAAGTGATAAAGTGTTATCTAAAGCACCATCCAAAGAGAGCACTGTGATATCAACTGTAGCAATTGACAGCAATTTCTTATCATCACAATATTTATCTAGATTTTGGCATATGATAACACAGTGGAGATAAAGCACTTGCCAACAAACCAATGCTAGTGCATTTCTGCTTTAACAGATCTACTCGCTAAATCTAGCCTATTGTTTATTTCTTCGATCATTAACTTGTGGCTACATGTACCTTTCCATGTCCATATGCTAAAATTCTGCTCTGTACCTTGTGATAACCATAAGAAATGCATGTACCCATGAAAGCCCATCAGTCGTATTCACAGCTTGTTCAACCACATAAACAGCTAACTCTACATCATATGCATGCGATGCTGTATTTACCAATCATTTCTATGCCACCATTTGGTACAGACAAGATTCATTATAGGTATCAACAATTGGTTTTACTTTGCCTACGAGCAAATACCATTAATTTCAAAGGAACATGTTGCAATTTTGCTTCTGGCAGAGCTGCAGTTAGAGCAACAGAAAGTCCTTCACATTGAAGCTTCTGGCAATATCATATCATAAACCTAAATCCAATTTCAGTCAACATCTCCACTTGTGTTACCAATCATGTCAGACATTATGCAAAAATCATAAATATTTTTTTTCACAAATTATTCACACACCACAATTCAAAATCAACTGTGCTATTTTGGGCCTCAAATTAAGGTGTTGGACAGAACCATTTTAATAACGGAAAGGTCTGTAATTTTATAAGACTACATAGTGAAGTATGTGGATCATGTACAAATGGGGCAAAATGTTGAAGAGAACCCCATTGGCAATTCCAATATCAATTATAAAAGCCCCTAATTTTTTTCTCCGTGTGACAGGAAGAATCATATTTGTTGACTACTGAAACCCATAATTTGGCAAAATGAGATTGCCATCTCAGGTACCACATTCTTTCAGTATAATTGGGCAATTAACTAAGTAGTTTCCTTGCTAAACAATGATACTAAGATAGTTGTCCGCTTGCATGTCTATTAAACCCGTTTAACCTATATTTTTGTATTTCTTTCAATATACCATGGCACTGCAAACTGATAAGGATCAAATATTTGGAATGCATAATTTACTCTGCAGTTTTCAAAATTCTGCTGCAGGCTGTACTCACACCACTGACGCTCTAAGCACCATGTTATATGTCAGACAGAAAAGAAGACTTACGGATTTGTCCATTGAGACGAAAGAAAATTGATAACACTACACATCTAGAACATTATATCGGAGTTGCCAACTCTGTGTATCAACCCTTATTCTATGCATAATTTAGGATAGATCTATACAATTTGTTAATATCATTTGGCCATTATAGATCTACACATCCGAGTACTGAAATATCGGCAGCCATTTATAATTGTTTGTCTGATAAGGTAACAGTCTGGCTGGCAAAGCTAGTGAAACATTATTTGCATGTGGAAGAGAACACTCACACAACAGTCATATGCTATGAAGACACAAACTTCAAAAACAGAAGTCTGGCTGCAGTCTGGATTAGGTAATTGTGATCAGATTTGGCTTGCTTCCATTTTGGTAGAGTAAACTACAATGCATTGTCCCTCACTGACTGATCATGAACAATGTTCAAGGACAGACAAGAAAAATATGAAAGCTTACTAGCCTTCTAAGAAATACTGCCTACCCTTTGTATCATGCAAATTCTGATTCTATAAAAAAAAAGTCCCTAGTAATCAATATTATCTGTTTATTAACAGCAGATGAAAAGTGAAGATAAAATGATTCTCAAACAAGAAAAGGAGCTCCATGCCAGCAGCAGAACCTCAATTATATTTGTGGTGCCTGATCCTTTCCAATTTCTAGCTTGAAATCCATCTCTTTCCTGCTGAGTGAGTCCTGTCAGCACATTCACTTTGGATTTCAATTTTTCCTAGTAGTTCCATCACCTGCTGTACTTGGGGTCGTAATATGCTCAGGTAAATGAGCGAACTTGATTCAGTCCGGTTCAATGGTTGGAATCATGGAGAATCAATACAACATACTTCCTTAAAGGACATTTTATTTAGTAATAACAATTCAAATGTTTTATCCAAATATTATTACAAATATTATAACAAAATAATCATATATTCAAGTCTGAAACTTAACATTTTAAAGGCCAATATGAGGTGATTTGAGACAATTTTGTGTGTCAAAGTATGGACGGGAAATTTTTTCCCTCTGTGCAAAAATTATTGTTATAAAATAGTTATTATTTTAGTTTGTGGCTCCATTCCTGTTTTTTCCAAGTTTTCAGTTATCAAAATCCAACAATTAAAACGGGGAAAGGGAAGAAGAAAGAAAAAGAATATCTCAAAAGTTTTTTAACTGAATTCCTGTGCACCCAACACCTACATATATACTGTACATTCCAGATATAACAAGTTTATGACAAAGTTTGAAAGGTCTTAACTAGTCAAATATATCATTGCATTTTTGTAATTAAAATATTCATTAAACCAAATGATAGATAAAGATGAGACTACTATTTGTGATACAAATCTTATCAAATATGCACCCAATCCCACTTATAAACATGTTAATAAAATATAATGTCAATCTCATACACAGCATCCAAAAGGACACCTTAAGAAGCAAACAAAAGAAAAACTACAAAATAGGAGTGAATCATCAAAAAAAAAAAAAAATAATAAAAATAATAGCATTCCATACCTGAAATAATCATCTAAAAGATATTCAATGTCCATCTTGAAAACTGAGGTGAGGAAATGGTCCAAAGATGAAGTGTGTTTGGTGAGTTTACCCACACTCCTGTGCACAGGGGAAGGGGGACTGAAGTCTGACCCCTATCTGATAACCACTCCTTAATACTTTTCAACTTCTAATCTTCTACTATATTCCTTTTAGAATGGCACTTGAAATTATTTCCTGTGTCTTTGAAAAACTTGAAAAGCATATCAAAGATCAGAGGTTAAGTCACATGCCCTTTCTTTCTTACCTCTGACATATGAGGTAGACTTAACCAACAACTTGACCTGGGGCATCTGGTAAACTACCCTCTCGATTTGTCAGCATGAAAAAGACGTATCAAAATGCTCACTTTGATACAACGGTGACTGATCGATAATTGGCACATATACATTTTTTTCCTTTCCTTTACAAAACTCCATCAGAGGTTCTCGATTTCAAATCTGTTTTCAGTTCATTAAAAGTGTAATTTAAAAGTTTGAGGCCTGTTGGTAGAGGGTTCTGACACAGATACCAAACTGCTACTCCAATAGCTGCCTACCTTGCTCCAGATGTGTAGACCAAAGTGAATCATGCTGAGATGATGCAGGGCACATTTCCAGGTGAATTAGCAGTGGTGCTAACAAGAACAGCATGTGATGTAAAACTGGACCAAGAATGTACATGTGATGCCTTGCTTGGTCTTTGAATGTGTGTTAAAAAATTACAGAACTGCCATATATATACATATACATACATGTGTATTTCTTTATGATTATTTGCTGACAAACCACTATGGAAAAACTGAATGATGTTTTGGTGCATTTGCCATATAAACAGATATTAATTCATTTTCTTTGCAATTCACTTTGCATTTCTCTGAAAAAAAAATGAACATTCACAAAGTCAACTTAAATGTTACCTGTCCCCATTCCACTATAACAACAAAGATGTTAAAGAGAGCTTACACGTGCTAAACATTCTTCAAATTGTTCCCCTATTGTTTTCACTTTCATCATACAACCAAAATAAATCATGAAAACCTGGCCTCCCCAAATGTCAACAGCTGATTAAATTTTTATGCAAATTCAAAGTGAGCACACTTGCATTGTCACACATATTGACATTCATTTTCCAAATTCTTCTGCATTTTGATCGCACTAGGTACAGTTATGGCACGAAGCATGAATCATGCATTCCTGTGGTTCACAAAGCCAAAGGAAAAAAAAGGGGGGTTACAGTAATAAAGGTAAGGTTGAGTAATGCTGGTTGATGGACGGCCATATCTAACTGATATATCATATTCAACTGTGATCAGTATCAAAGACTAGCGGAGAACTGACTTCGTGTTTTCAATGATTGCTTCACATGTTACACAAAGCAAAACAGAAACCCTAATTGATCAAACATAATAGCCATAACATAAATGCACATCTTTGTTTACAAAAATTACACATTTGAAGATTTCATTCTTAAAAAGAATAGTCATTGTCATGAAAAAAAGACCACAGCTCAAACTTTCTTTGTCTGATTTTTTTCCTAGTTAACAAAGCATGTAGTAAAACCCTCACCTGCACATGCATTGGCATGTATGCATAAACACACTGGGTTGATCACGTAACATCTTCATTTTCCCCTAGCACGTGTAGAACATTTCTTCAAGAAACTTTCTTATATGAATTATTTTACAGTAAAGGATGCTAAACACACAAAATTAAAGCTTAACAATTTTTTCACTGCTACACTCCCTCGTGGCTATCTGGTTTAAAGACCCACAATTTGGTTGTGTGCACACAATTTACAAACATCGCACCTTGAACAAAGCACGCACCTGGCCCAGTAATTTGAATATCAATATGCTTGACATATGCATCTCAACAAAAATAACTGCCTTAAAGGAGCAATCTCAACCTCTTAATTCATTGATTATATCTTTACATTGTTTGCCGAATAATTAAATCCTCACAAACCTTTCAGATTATCTAACTTCTTGAAAGTTTGACTTACTGTTTATTTGCATTAATATCTAAATCAAATACACCTAGAAGAAACATCTGCTGGTAACATTTCTTTATCAAATCCAAGACTAAACAAAGCGGAGTCTCAAATAATCAAATAAAGCCTTTTCCTGATACCAACTGTCCAATACTCAAAACAAATATCTAATATTGAAATGGTGACAATACAGATTAAGTTTTTCAATTAGTGAAATCCAATTCTTTTTGTTCTTCTTTCATAGAACAAACAGTAAATGGATATCAAACTTTGCCTGCAGTAAATCACTCTCATTCGTGGTGATGGTGTACCTCATGGAGAATCACCATGTACAGGTAGACAAAAGAAAGGACCCAGAAAAGTGCCATCTTTCTGTGGCTGGACCAGTGTGGTTTAAGTACACACCTAGGATGTCACCACAAATGGCAAAGTGGCTTCACAAAGCTGGTAATTTGGTGACACTGATAACACCGAATGTTAATCTAGCTGTTTGTAAGAACCGTGACTAAAAGGTGGACAAAATGTGACCCTTGTGGTGCCTTTTGCCTGAGAGACATTAAATAGACTGGGTAAAAATATGGCATTTAAATCTGGCATGGAAAAACGGTATTTAAATGATTCTGAAATATTTAAATTATATTAAAAAAGACTTATGATATCCTAGTTATCCTAGAGATGTGATACAAATCTCACTAAATTGAAATGCTCTTTTAAATTAAAACTTGTATCTTTTTTCCTATCTATTCTGGAAATTGTGCTGGCATTGATATAAGTGTCCAAATGACCACTAAAATTCTAGATGACCAGATAAAAGGGGGAAAGCAGACAATAATTCTCTTTTTCTCCATTTAGTGGAAACATGTAGTTCAATCATGTCTAGTGGTACTTTAACTAAATACTGTAAATACAGTCAGATGGGAATATAGTACTCAGTACATATAATATTAATGTTCCATTTGAAAAACAATCATTGATTTGTCTTGTAGTGCTCGAGTACCCAGTAAGCATAACCAAAGCCAGATAAGTATATTCCAAATCCCAGCACAAGCAAACATGTAATAAGCCATTTTAAAAGATACAGATTTATAAACATTTGCTATTTCCCAACTTCCAAGCATTATTTTTCTTGGGAGGAAAAGACAATAGCCACAGCAATGACCACAGTGACCTACCATAATGTCAGCTCTGAAACCCACTGTCTACAAAGTTTGTCCTTCTTTTTTGTTTTACTCCGTGTCAACGAGCCCCATACCGACATAGATAATCCAGGCATTGAAGTCAGTTAAAGAAATATATATTTTTTTGTAAATCCTTGGTCTTCAGTTCTTCTAAGAACTTGATGAAAAGTTTTCCCTTGCAGGACAGTGTTTTGTCATCCAACTGATATTCCTATTAAAAGTCCTGGGTCCCTGACAGAAAAAATGTCACCAATAATGTATGCAATGGAACATTAATAAAGTGAAAAAAATAAAGTTAAACTCCTTTACTCCTGGAGGATGGTTTAACACTTGTTGACAATAGGTTCAATGTGTGTTTAATAGAATTAAAGGGCTTGGTTTCAAACTATATATGGGTTCATCCCAAGATTAATCACCCCTGTCTTCCATATAATTTACTTGTTTTTCTGTGGAGACCTGTTACAGGTGTATTAAACGGTACCCTACGGTCGCATGAGATAACGTCCCCCTGCTTACTCATATGTTAGAGTTATCTGAACACAGATCTTCCAAACCTCCACCAATAGCAACTGGTGGATGGACTATGATTCAATATCACCCTTGCATGCAAGGAATCCATTAGAAAGATCTTGGACATAAGATGTGGTATTTCTAAATTGCTTTTTTTCATGGACTAAAGACTGAAGAGAGTGTTGTGCTCCACTGACTGCGTGCCATATTCATATTTTGCACTCATCTTTGTCTAAACAAAAACAATAATCATAACTGAGGGAGGGACTGTGAAGTTATTAATATCTAGGGTGAATTTGGGCCATGGACCTGGGGTGGACACAATATGATAAAAATAAATTCAGTTACTAGTAGTAACAATCTTAAAAATACAAACCACAGTAGCTTATTTTGCAATTTTAAAAATTTGCATGACAATTTAATAAATTAAAACTAGAGGNAGATTCTGCGAGATTTAAGAAGGACTGCTTTCACCCCCACGCCATCTAGCGGCAGACCCTTAAAGCGGGTATTCCCCATTGTGATCAGATTTGGCTTGCTTCCATTTTGGTAGAGTAAACTACAATGCATTGTCCCTCACTGACTGATCATGAACAATGTTCAAGAACAGACAGGAAAAATATGAAAGCTTGCTAGCCCTCTAAGAAATACTGCCTACCCTTTGTATCATGCAAATTCTGATTCTATAAAAAAAGTCCCTGGCAATCAATATTATCTGTTTATTAACAGCAGATGAAAAGTGAAGATAAAATGATTCTCAAACAAGAAAAGGAGCTCCATGCCAGCAGCAGAACCTCAATCATATTTGTGGTGCCTGATCCTTTCCAATTTCTAGCTTGAAATCCATCTCTTTCCTGCTGAGTGAGTCCTGTCAGCACATTCACTTTGGATTTCAATTTTTCCTAGTAGTTCCATCACCTGCTGCACTTGGGGTCGTAATATGCTCAGGTAAATGAGCAAACTTGATTCAGTCTGGTTCAATGGTTGGAATCATGGAGAATCAATACAACATACTTCCTTAAAGGACATTTTATTTAGTAATAACAATTCAAATGTTTTATCCAAATATTATTACAAATATCATAACAAAATAATCATATATTTAAGTCTGAAACTTAACATTTTAAAGGCCAATATGAGGTGATTTGAGACAATTTTGTGTGTCAAAATATGGACGGGAAATTTTTTTCCCTCTGTGCAAAAATTATTGTTATAAAATATTTATTATTTTAGTTTGTGGCTCCATTCCTGTTTTTTCCAAGTCTTCACTTATCAAAATCCAACAATTAAAACGGGGAAGGGAAGAAGAAAGAAAAAGAATATCTCAAAAGTTTTTTTTAGCTGAATTCCTGAGCACCCAACACCTACATATATACATTCCAGATATAACAAGTTTATGACAAAGTTTGAAAGGTCTTAACTAGTCAAATATATCATTGCATTTTTGTAATTAAAATATTCATTTAACCAAACGATAGATAAAGATGAGACTACTATTTGTGATACAAATCTTATCAAATATGCACCCAATCCCACTTATAAACATGTTAATAAAATATAGAAACCTCATGCCATGGTTTTCAATCTCATACACAGCATCCAAAAGGACACCTTAAGAAGCAAACAAAAGAAAAACTACAAAATAGGAGTGAATCATCAAAAAAGAAAAAAATAATAATAGCATTCCATACCTGAAATAATCATCTAAAAGATATTCAATGTCCATCTTGAAAACTGAGGTGAGGAAATGGTCCAAGGATGAAGTGTGTTTGGTGAGTTTACCCACACTCCTGTGCACAGGGGAAGGGGGACTGAAGTCTGACCCCTATCTGATAACCACTCCTTAATACTTTTCAACTTCTAATCTTCTACTATATTCCTTTTAGAATGGCACTTGAAATTATTTCCTGTGTCTTTGAAAAACTTGAAAAGCATATCAAA